AGATAATCGTGAAAACAACAGTACATGCTTGTGTGACCCGTGCAATCATTCCTTGCCAAATTTGAGGCCAGAAAGGTCCAAGAACAGAGAAATAGAAATACAGCCAGGTTTTACCAAATTAGGACAGGTATGCCATTGCAAAATGTATGCAGAAGCAGACCCAACCCAGATTTTTAAAGGTTTTAAGTGGGTTTTTGATCCTCAATTCGGCCAAAATCAGACTTTCAAAAGCCAGATATTCCTATTCCTATTTCAATCCTATTTACTCGGATGGAGAGCCAACAGTAAGCGAGACCAAGACCGAATTCTTGCATCTGACATCAACTTCAGACTCCTGGCAGTCCAGCAGGCAGCTAGGGTCCCTCATTGGCGACAGTGAGGACCTGGAGCGGAGGAAAGACCTCGCTTCGAGTGCATACGGCAGGATGTATAGCCTCTGGCTGAGGCGTGGGAAGGTCAGTGAGCAGAGGCGCATCCGCCTGTATAATGCCCTGGTTCTGCCCATTCTTTTGTATAACTGCGGCGCATGGGGGCTCACGGCAGCACAAGCAGAATCGCTTAACGTTTTCCACCGGAAGCAGCTCCGACGGCTCATTGGCATAGTCTACCCAGCCAGGATATCAAATACTGAGCTGTATGAGAGGTGCAACACGGAACCACTATCTGACATCGTGGACAGGAGAAGATGGCAGCTAACCGGCCATATTCTCCGTATGGACAGGGATGCGCTGCCATGGATCGCGCTGACGGGCTATTTTGCGGGAGATGCCAAGGCTGGGCGTGGACGTCCAAGGACATCCATTGCGACGCGCATCACAAGCGACTTACAGAGGAGGAACATCGACTTGAAGCGCAGCAGTCAGCTGGGGAATGTGAGGGCCATCGCTCTGGACAAGCCTACATGGAGAAATCTGGCCGACAATCCATGATCTGGCGTCACAGGTCATCAGTGCGCCGTGTTAATAATTACCTTGATAATGGAATTTGATCATAGGAGATAGGACAGAAGCGGAACGTATAATTATACCCACATAATTATATTATTACGCGTGCTGTGGTATTATTATTATTATTAGAGCCAGAGATAAATCTATAGAACGGAAAGGGGTCAAGGAGCTACAAATTACGCTATAATGTTCACTAACACCATGGCTGTTGGAGTGCGCATCCAAGTGCTAAAGCTGATAGCCAGTTAGGGCGCGTTCAGACTACCGATGCAAAAGGGACCGATTGAGAAATTTTCAAGATGATTTGATCGTGTGACGTTGGTAGCACGCTACAAGCGGAAACTTTTTACTGCCGCGACTGCTGCCGCAGTGAAACTTTTTCAGCAGTAAAAAGAGTGCTCAGGCTGGTAAAAAGGGAAAATCCCTTCTCAGTACTGCGGTGAGAGCTCCAAAACTTACGTACCGGTAACGTTAGTTGATCGGTAGTGCGAATGTCCTTCACAGCTATCGCCATTTACAGTTTGACAGGATTCACGGTACCGTATTTGCCGGAGTATAACGCGCACCGGAGTATAATGCGCCCCCCCCCCATTTTTAAGCAATGTTTTTTTGCAATTCAAGGTATATGCGGAGTGTAATGCGCAGCCTAGATTTGAGTGCAGTATTAAACATAAAGACATAACTATAGTGCGACCATTGTCACAAAGAGTGCATTCAGATGGCTTGCGCAGGGTCAAAGGTGGCACACTTCGTAACAGTTTGATGCATTGCCCTACTTTTCGAAGTATATGTTCATTTTTTTCATATTCGGAGCGTAGTGCGCACCAGCGATTTAGGGCCAGAAGTAGTACCTCCAAAGTGTGCACTATACTCCGGCAAATACGGTAGTCTGAACGCACCCTTAGTTGTAGAACGTCAGTACAGTCGGTCAGTGTCGTGCAGTGTTATCGCATGAGCTGATTTTTTAGTAGCTGCTGGTGGTGTTAGTGGACAGTATAGCATAACTTGTAGTTTCTTGATCCTTTTTCCTTTCTATAAATCAAGACTATTTTTAATGACTATTCCTATTTCCTATTTCCTATTTCCTATGATTGGACTGAAATGATTTTTTTCTAGAGCACTACATTATTCACGCGATCCACATCACCAGGAATATACACTTGCTGAGACACATCATTTTCAGCAAAACAAACACATCGTACGACAACAGGTAGCAGCAGCTGTGAATCTGATTGACGATGCTAGTCAGAAGTGCCTCATGAGTGTCATTTTCTAAAAGCTGTTAACAGACCTCAGCTGTATGTTTGTTCCCCCAGTGGTCTGTATCCCTAGTGTTTTTTTGGAGTGATTCAGCAAACCTTCATTGCCAACTGAAGCTCAACTGATAAGGTGGGTGCTGACTATTGAGCACTGCTATCTTGGAGGTTGGCCGAGTGGAGGGTTTTTCGGAGAGCAAATGTGTGCACAGCGAACGTGTAAGGCTTATTTTGGGTTCATGTGTGTGTGTGTCTGTTGATTTGTGTGTTTGTGTGTGTGGGGATGTGTGTGTGGCGGCATACAGTCTCAAACACAGCCGCAGTGAAGTGAGGTCCCCTGTCACTCTGCACCACCTTCGGGATATCGACACTGCACACCCAGCGGTCGCATAACACGCTAGCCGTCGTAGTTGTCGAGCAATCTTTAGTCGGCACCAAGACGGCATAACGTGACAAAACGTCCTGCATTGCGAGCACATAGCAGTATCCCTCTGGGACTGACTCTTGGAATGGACCAATGAAGTCTATCTGCACCTGTTCACCAACGGTCTCCGGAATGCTTGGCTGTTGGGGAGGAGGAATCTCCGGTCTCCTGACCCGCTTGTGCAGCTGGCACATTTCACAACCTCTGACGTACGTTCCTCCGTCCTCGGCAATAGTCGGCCACCAAATCACATCTAGGATACGTGTCCACGTTCTGTTCCGTCCCATGTGTCCACTCAGAGGTGAGTCATGAACCGCCGCCAAGCAGGGCCGCCGCATCTGCTGGGGAATGACTACCACTTTCATTTGTTTCCGCCCCAGAGGCAGTGCCTCCATAGACCGGCCCTTGAACTCAATGTAGCGAAGGGTTCCATCTTGGCCCACTGTCAGCCTGTCCCTTCTCTTGTATATCCTTGGCTTCTTGGCTCGCATCCAGGCATAGCGGTTGAGCCGTCATGATTGCCTCACGGACTGGGCCAACTGCCGAGCAGGTGCATTGTCCAGCCACAATCTCTGGGGCTGAAAACATAGGCGATAGGTGAATCATCCCATCTCCTTTCTCTTCTTGAATAGAAACTGCCAATACTTGCAACGTCGCCGCCAAATCACCATGTCCGATGCGAGACAGGTAGTCCGCCATGCTCAATTCTGGTGACTTGCCCGGTCTGTGGACAATGTTGAACTTGAACTGCTGCAAGTACTCCAGCCACCTTGATCTTCACCTGTAAACATCGTCCATCTCCATGGAACGAAGCCATTTGAGTGCAGTGTGATCTGTGACCAACTCAAACTCACGGCTTGACAGGTAGATCCGAAAACTCCTCACCGCCAGCACGACAGCCAGAAGCTCACGATCCGTTGTGCCATAGTTCCTTTCTGCCGCCGACAGAGTGTGGTGGTGAAATGCCACTGGCTGCAGCCCGCCATCCTTGCTCCTCTGTGCTAGCATCGCCCCAGTACCGACGGCCGATGCATCCGTCACAAGTACAAACCGACGACGGAAATCAGGCAAATGCATTACCGGTGGGGAGGCAACCTGTTGCTTTAGCTGCTGGAATGCTTTCTTGGCTTCCGCATTCCAGACCAGTTTCTGTGTAACTCCAGACAGTAAGGTGTGAAGAGGTTTGGCGATCTCAGCCATCCGAGGGATCCACCGTTGGACATATGCGAAACTGCCCAGAGCCTTCCGCAGCATGTTCTTAGTGTCTGGAAGAGGTGTAGTCAGGAGGGCTTCCACAAGGGCCTTGCTGATGAATATCTTTCCATCGGCCAGAGTGTGACCAAGGAACTCGATTTCCCTGACGCGGCTCGTGCACTTTGCCGGATTCAGCAGTGCGCCAGCGTCGCGTAGCCGTTGCAGTACCTCATGCAAGCGCGCCGTGTGCTCTTGCCATGTTCTCCCCCATACGAGGATATCATCTAAGTAACAGAGGGCCGTTGTCCACTCAGCATTTCCGATTACCGCCGACATCAGACGCTGAAATGACGATAGTGCCCCACACAGACCGAATGGCGTCCCTTGTCCAGTCCACTCATACTGGCCGTCTAGTGTTACGAATGCAGTCTTCTCGGAATCCTCCATCCGCATGGGCATCTGGTGGTAGCCAGACTTAAGATCGAGAAATGAGAAGAATCCAGCTTCGGACAAGTTGTCGACCAGGTCATCGATCCTGGGCAGTGGGTGGTGCTGTCCGATGGTAGCTTCGTTTAGGCGACGGTAGTCGATCGCCAGCCGTATCTTCCCGTTCTTCCTGCGTGCCGCCACTATTGGTGCGGCCCATGGTGACACCGATGGGCGAATCAGGCCCTGCTTCTCCAGATAGTCAACTTCCTTATGCACCTCTTCACGCACTTCAGGATGCAAACGTCTTGGTCGTGACTTTGCAGGTGTCGCTCCAGGCTTTAGACGAATCTCATGACACACTTGGTCACGAATAGTCAAGATGATATTACCAGGATGGTCAGTGAATTCAGCGATCTATTCCGGGTAGAGGGCGACAAGTTACCATCATCTTTGTGTGGTTGGCTAGCCTTTGGATCCATTTCATACCCTGATACGTGCCGCTGCGATTTCCGTACTTCCGTCTTGGTATGTTGTGTCGCATCCCTCGATCCTGGCAAGGTAGTTTCAAACCTCGGGTCCAGCGCAGCGACCTTGGTGCCCTTTCTCAGTACCTCCTCCTCCCGGTTCAGGTTCATCATCCTTAGCTGTGTTGTTGTCTTTGTTCCCAGTTGAAGGAGACAACACATTGCCTGGACTGGACGGTATGTCTCGCTGCTGACAGGCTCCACCAGGTACTCTGGCCATGGCTCGGCATTCTTCATCTCGCATGCCACCCACACCTCCCGTCCAGGTGGCAAGACAACATCTTCCGCCACTCCTGCCAGTGCCGAGCCAGCCGGAGACGCTTTAGGTCGGTAGATCCTCTGTAGCGCAACCTTGCATTGTGGCTTACCGAGGGACAGTTCACCAGTCTCCCAGTCCCACGCCTGGTGGCCCAGTCTGCTCAAGAACTCAGCACCTGCTAGGATGGGCACGATCAGGCCTCGCACGACGTGAAATGGGTGGTGTGTCAGGGTGACTCCTCCAATTGTGACTGTCCAGTACACCAGCCCATAAAACTTTACTGCAGTTCCATCGACGCCGCGTGTAGGTGCAGCCACCGGTCGACCATCGCCCTGAACCTCACTCCGTTCTATTTCAGTAGAGCTGATAAGACTGATTTCAGCACCGGTGTCCAGCAGCATGCTAACTTCAGTCTTCTCAAGTTTGACCCGTACAAAGGGACTCCTTCGCAAAGCGGTTGCTGTGAATACTTCCTCTGTGGAGAACATTGCCCTGCTGCAACCCTCTCGGGCCACAGCAGGGCTCAGTGAACCCTGCTGCGTCTGCTTTGGCCTCCAGCTTGTGTTCTCCTTCTGCAGCTTGCTACATGCGTGCCAGCCGCCTCGGTGGTTTGACGTCCTGCAGTAGTGGCACAGCCAGTTTCGGCCACTCCCTGGCGTTGGCCTACGTCCGGTCTCGGTACGACTACACTGCGCTGTCAAGGACGCCACTTGCGTCTTCAAGTCCTCCAAATCCTTCTGCCCCGGCCAAGTTGATGATGATGCTGCCATCACAGAATCACTCATTGCACCGCTTGCTGCTGCTGCTTCCCAATGACCCTGGAGATGATTGGCCTTTCTTAGTACTGCCTGGTATGACCGTAGCTGATCCTGCTCATCAAAAAGGCCGAACACCAGCAGTTCCTCTCGTAGGCGGTTCGACTGTACGGCTCGCATAAACCTAAACAAGACACGTTCTCGTCGAGCTTCCAGGTCATTGGTTGGGAACGCGACTGCCGCTAGTTGTTGTAGGCGAGAAAGATACTGATCCAGAGATTCTCCCTCTTGCTGCCGACTCTCCTCAAACTCACTTAGTGTACGCAGCGCGAGCTTTAGTCCTGCCGTATCGGCCGTGGAGTGCCTCCATCATCTCCTTATCATCTTCCAGAGGTTTCCTGTTCTCCTCCTGAGACAGCCACACCAATGGTTCGCCCCTTAGCTGGGCCAGGACCTTTTGTGCGCGAAAACCTTGTTGTCCGACCACAGCTTAGCTTCCGCATTTGTGTCCTCCAGCAATTCATTCAGCTCCCTTGCATTGGTATATGCGCACTGAAAAGCTAGCCAGTTTTCCAATGACGTTCCACAATCACCGAACACCAGCTTCAGCCTCTCGGCCATCTCCTAGTCCAACCACTTAAGACTGGTCCGAACCTGCTGCCACCAGTGTTACATCGGCAGTACGTATATTTAATCAGAAGTAGGTAGTCAACTGAACAGGCGGTGAACCCAAAGTAAACTTATAACTACAATTGATGGTGTGAGAGTGTGCAAGTGATAATGGAGTGAAGCATGCCAGAGTTATAACGCAAGTAACATCAATGCACACTGTATGGTGGTGCTGCCACCTCACAGTGGCATACATGTGCATGCAGTCATACACAACTGCTAATAAATGATCAGCAACAGTGCCAACATGAAGGTGACACTATTATATCTATCACTAGCACCAATCAAGTCCTACATTCACACCAAACTCAGTCACTGTCACTTGACACCATATCAGGTGTGTGTGTGTGTGTGTGTCTGTGTGTGTGTGTGTGTGTGTGTGTGTGTGTGTGTGTGTGTGTGTGTGTGTGTGTGTGTTTGTGTACTTATAGTGGACCTATACAGCAGACTGTTCATCTGGTTTGTGATATTTCCTTCCTCTGTTTGTGAGTCCCTTTCCATCAATATGGCAGCTTGTTTTGATTTCCTTTTTTCAATTCATTTTGCTGTACTTCCTGTTTTGTTTGCACCACTGCCCCTCACCTTGCGCTCAGTTCTCTGAGTGGAGGGCGGCGTGACCCCAAGGGGTAGCTGATTGATAGTAGTAGTAGTAGTAGTAGTAGTGTGTGTGTGTGTGTGTGTGTGTGTGTGTGTGTGTGTGTGTGTGTGTGTGTGTGTGTGTGTTGCTATGGCTTCTGCTGTAGCATCGCTATCATCGCCTCTGGCGATGGGCGTCCAATGGTCAATGGTCAATGGTGTGTGTGTGTGTGTGTGTGTGTGTGTGTGTGTGTGTGTGTGTGTGTGTGTGTGTGTGTGTGTGTGTGTGTGTGTGTGTGTGTGTGTGTGTGGCAGTGGGATTGATGTCTCCCTTCAAAAGATCGTGTTGTAGGCGGTTTCCGGGTGCACTGCGGTGGACAGACTTGGGTTCCTTGACTAGGTAAGGCTCATTATAATCCTGTATAAGAGCCTTCCAAGGAGCCCCAAATCATCAAGACTGGTTAAGTAGAAGCAATGTTATGATGGAAAAATCCAAGAATGCATACTCAACGTACAGGAATATTCATCTGGTGGCCCGGTGGAGACCCGGATGGTTAATTGAATCTCTATCAGGTTCACTATGTCATTAACAGAAACCTAAAATAATTACGTAGAGTGCCAAAGTTTGGCATCATTCCACAGGAAGAAAGAAATATTTTCGTACTTACCCACAATGTTGAGTTGAAAGGTTTCTGTAGAGTTTCCTGAATCCACTATTCTGCAATGGTACAGTCCAGAATACGATGTGCTCAGAACAGTATGTCGGGAATTAATGGGGAAAAAAATATAAAAAAATCCGTCGATAGTTGTGTCTAACAAAACAATACTGCCCGTAGTCTGCTCCAGTCGAAGGGTTGAAGATTCCCATGCGTATCCATTACAAGAAGGTAAGAAATTATAAACATCGGGTGTAGGTTGTCCATCTCCGAATGTCACCGTGAATGGTGCTGTTTGTTGTGTGTTGAGCGCATTCAGAGCAACGTGCTGACCTGCATTGGGAAAAGGGAGGGGGGGGGCGGGGGGGGGGGGGGGAGGGTAGAGGACAAACAAAGAAGCACAATGTCACACACAGTGCGACAATGCCAGATACTCACTGCAACTACACAACATTGGTCGAAGACCTGACAATGCCATCATGCTGCTGCAGGTGAGTTGGCGTTTGATATCATTTCTGGTACACACGCACGCATGCCGATGGACTTCTCGTGTGCTCTGGATTGCAGTCGCGAGTCAGTCAAGTGTCAAGAGAACTCGGCGAAATAGCGCGAGCTCCAGTGTGGGAGCAAACCCATTCCTAAATATTCATCGCCAAAGTCGCAACCACTATTTCGTACTGTTGTGCCCAACGCGGGCTTGCAACTAGCTGGTTTGAAGGTGACAGCGTTGTGAATGACCGAGCGTCCTCACCGTCCAGGAGTTGTTCTCACCGTCCAGGAGCGACACTGACTCACGCTGCTATCTGGTGTTCACGAGGTGTTTGTCGTGCCGGAACGGAGCGTCTCTGTAAGTTTGCATCCCTGGTGATGTCTGTGCCAGGAGAGCACTATATAAGTGGTGCTTTTCAGCCACTCAAGCTCAGCTGATGAGGGGTGAATTCCCCGAAACACTGTGTATTGAGCAGGGAGTGTTGCTTTCATGCAGGTTTGCCGAGTCGAAGGTTCGATGGACTTCTCGTGTGCTCTGGATTGCAGTCGTGAGTCAGTCATGTGTCAAGTCAACTCGGCGGAATAGTTCGACCTCCAGTGTGGGAGGAAACCCATTCCTAAATTATTATTTATTATCAAACCTTTCCCTCAAACCAGTGAATATTATTATTAGTCTCTATATTTGCTGGCCTCAAGCGAAGGTCCCTGGCTCAAGTCCTGCTGGTGACAGTCAATTTTTTCTTTAGACTTTTCCTGTTTGCATCTTTCCCTCAAACCAATGAGTAGTCATCAGTTTCCAATTGTGTTGTTATTATATTATTATTATTTATTCTTCTTTTACTAGGGAATTCCCAACAGGCGTCAGTGCAGTTGACACGTCGTGTGCTTTTAGGACTGCCTGGATATACCGGTAATTACATTAATTTTCGGTTTTATCTATTCTGCAGTTGCATGCGTGTGTTCACCTCAATGACCTCGCTCGTTTCTGGTTTCTTTTGTCTGTTTGCCTCATGGGCTAGCCAAGCTTGCTTGCTGATGCCAACGCCGACAGACTTATTATAATAATAATAATGGCTTCTATCATCATTCACGACATGCCTTCGTTTCTTGTTGCATCAATATAATTACTTGTGGTCCAAATAGGGACAACACAATGTAATAGTTATGAATAGCAGGAAAACCCAACTTAGGGCGCTGGGTAGTGTGTGTTGTAGCATCAGTTGTGGTATGCCCCATCACTAAAGAACAACTTATCTAATGCCAACATCAGCTGGAAGAGACGTAAAAGAGCAAAGTGTTTGATGTGTAATGATGGATGTCCTCTGCTCACATGCATAAGCAGTGAGTGGTCTTCACTCGCGTCCTGGGACCCACAAATACAAACCAGCATTATGGTCCTTCAGAGATACATGCAAGCAAAGAAATACAGGAAAGGTAACGGAAATCGTTCCGAAGCCTAGCCAGCGATTGTATGCACACACGTGGCAAGTGCAACAGCAAGCAACGTGGAAGGCACAGAGGCACAAAAGTGGAAAATGCAACTCTACAAATGCCAGAATAGAAGGCTCCATGAATATGATCACTTCTCAAATGCTTGAGACTTGGATTTACAAATGCTACCACACAAATGATTATGTACATGCAAAGTTGGTTGCTCCTCACACTAGAGGTCAAGCTTTTCAGCCGACTTGACTGTACATTTCACTGACATCCAGACACTTGACTGACTCACAACCGCCATCCAGAGCAGAGAAGAAGTCCTTCGAGCCCTCCACTCGGCAAACCTACAAGAAAGCAGCACTCCCTGGTCAATACACAGTGTTTCGAGGAATTCACCCCTCATGCAGTTGAGCTCGAGTAGACTGATGAACGTGGTGCTTAGCGACCAACATTCCTCTAAAATCGTCGCCAAGGTCGCTACCAATGTAATTGTACATGAATATCATTATTTAGTGGCAGATTTCATTTTGCGACACTCCGGGCAGGTCCAGTTCTTGCGCTTTGGCTTACTCTTGAGCTGCAAACAAGCCATGAGGAAGAAACGAATACTGCAATCATTGTTGGAACATCGCAGTACCTCGCCAACCTTCACAGACTTGCAGTAACAAAACTCCGGAGGGCTTTCTTGATCCGCAGTAGGTGTTGTACTGGCAGCACCAAGTGGTTTCGAGGCTGAGGTAGCCGCTGAAGATGCATCGGTTGGAAGAGTGGAGAACGCTTTAGTGAACCATTTCCAGGGCTGCCACACTTGGAGGGAGAAAAATCGGACGGGGGTTCGGTGGTGTCCCCGTGAGCATAATTGTAGGGAAATGGCTTGCTGTTGGGGCCGCAGAACACATTTTTAACTGTCCACACACATTATTATTATTATCTTTATTCTCACAATGGCCGTAGCCAATAAGAGAGAGACAGTACTATGTGTTATCAATCAGAGTGGGTGCAATAAACCGGGAGAAACAGTGGCTAGTGGCAGCCGTGGTTTGGGTGCTTCATTTTTAAAAGTAAAGACGAGGAGGGAAGTATATCCATTGCAAGGGCAGGTAGGCGATAGACCTTCATTAAAATACTATACCTAGGCTGGGCTACAGCGGGGGTTGGAGCATGTGCAAATTGATGATACGATGATCGGGGTAACTTCTCTTTTGAATGCATTTATTTCTCGGAGGGAGTAACAGTGCGGTGGCAGGTGGTTGTACTGAGTGCATGCGGAGTACAAGGGTGAACGTTAAAGGGGGGTGGAGTGGGTGGTGGGGAGGGCAAAAACTCGATGACGCCTCAATTCTCGGCTTGGTGGCTCGGTGATGTAGCCTGAGGTCGCAAGCTGGATGTGTGGTGGGGATCGTTTGACAGGGATGGTGTGTGCAAAGAGTAGCTGCTTGAGCTTCCGGCGGGATGAGAAGGTTAGTCAAGTGGCGTGGTGGAGTAATGAACTGTGGTAGCAAGGACTGAAGAGGGGGAGTCGGAGGCAGAGTTTTGCTGACCGTCGTTGGAGATGTTCGAGGGTGTCTTGTTGCTGAACATCCATAGCTGACATAGCCAGAGAACAATATTCAATAACGGGGCATATATACGTGGTGCACAGTGCTGACAGGGCGGTAGGTGAAATACGTCCGCGAATCCGTCTCAAGAGGTGGAGAGTGCACGCAACTTTGCTCTCGATGTGCTGGATGTGGGCATTCCATTTCAGGTCGGCCTGAATGATGATACCCAGGTGTCTCTGGCTCTGGACTCTGTTCAGTGTTTTGCCTCTCAACGTTATTGTCAGGGGGAAGGCATCGCACAGTGTCATCACTACCGTCTTCGTTTCGTTGCACACATGCAAGCACGCGAGCATTATACACCTACATGTGCATGTACAATGACCGGCCAAACGCGACCTGGAAGCGCCGAATGGCCAACTGGACTAAAAAGCGCTCAAAATATAATATCCGGTTGCCCTTCTTTAGGAACAAAATCGGTCGGTTTTTCCGACAGGCGATGAAAAATGGGACAATTTCAGAAAAATCGGGGCAAATGGCAGCCCTGCACTTCCCAACAAGCTCTGGGAGAACAGCACACTGGAAGAATTTCTTGGCACCTGCTACCGCATCACGGATGAAAACTGTGTCTGCAGAGAAAACGTTCCACAAACAGCTGACCTTCATTCCACACAACAAAGTCACAGTATTGCACCTTATACACCAGCATCTGTAGCTGCACTTCTTTCAAATCTTTATTCTCCCGATAGCCAGTGGCCAATAAGAGATAATAGTGTAAGAAAGGAGAAAGACTGAGGAAGATTTGGGTGGGCAGAGCCTAGGGGTTAATGACTACTTAAGTGTACGGGCGGGGGTGGTCGCTACACGAGCATGCAGAGTTGTGCAACAGCAGGGATATCTGGGATTTGAAGAGAGTACGAGAAGGGATTTCGCGAAGCTGGGTGAGCAAGCAATTAAAGTAATCAAGGGCCTTGTGCAGGGGAGAATGGAGACAGCGATCAGTCCGCGGAGTTGGCAAGTGCCAAGTACGAGAGCGACGTAAATTATACGAAGTGTTGTTTGTTGTTGTTTTATTTTACTTCATCAGATTTACAGGCAAGGATGCCTTCTCACCGGCCAGGGGCCAGTTCCTAAAAATGATGAAGAAATTGTATGGATGGCTAATGATGAAGATTAACCTAATATCTAGGGTATGACAGACATACATTTTTATGAATTGATAGAAAATATGCCACGTTTTGTGAAAAATTATGAGAAATTATGAGTTTGTAGAATATTTCATGCAGAATATGGGGTGTTGGAGAATAGATAAAACAGAAAGGTCAGGTGGTGACAGAAAGTACATCAATATCGTCCCGTCTCAAATGTAACCTTAGATTCACAGTGCCATCCAGGCTTCGAATGTCAGCTGGAAGCATATTCCAGTAAATGCTGCCTATAAACTGTATCAGCGACCGCCCAGCAGGGCCGCGAACGAGAGAGCTTGGAAGCTCAGGGCCCTACGCTATGCTTTTTTTGCCTTTCTGACCTAGACAAAAAAGCATAGGGATGTTATAAATTCTTATAAGTTTCTACTTTTTGTTTTTAGACATAACCTGGGATTCGAGCCCGCACTATCGCCCTGCATGCATCTCCCGATACACTTCGCATACATACGAATTATTCCAAGTTGCTTCACGTTATAATCTTGTATTTGAAAGCCCTATTTGAATATGCATTGTGGCAAGCCGTCTTTGAATGTACGGTACGGTACGGGATAGGTACGGGACAGGTGCGGGACAGGTACGGTCGAGGGTAATACGACACCGTCTACCGCCTTGATGACGGCAAAAAAAGAAAAGGGATGTAGAAATTTTTCAATTCTCCTATTTTTTCAGGCATTACCTGGGATTCGAACCCGCACTATCGCCCCACATGCATTCCCCCATACACTTCGCATTCATACTCATTCTTCCAAGTTGCTTCACGTTATGATCTTGCGTTTGAAAGCCCTATTTGAATATTGCGGCCAGCTGTATGTGGCCAGCTGTGTTTGATGGTACGGTACGGCACGGGACAGATACGAGATAGCGCCAGGCGTGACACAAACACACCAAATTAAAGCTGTGTGGGCCCTGGCTAGCACCAGACGTTACTGAAGTAACGTCTTCTGCATAGCTACGGGAATAAAAGGTACTTGTAGAAGGTTTGGCCATGGGTGTTGCGACGAATAGCCTGATCTTGGTTGTTAAATTCAACGAAAACTTGGTAGTAGTACATGTGATCTTGCTTAAGAGAGCATGTCTGAGAATACCAAAGTATGTGTGCAAGTGGATCTCTCCGATTTCGCTCAAAATTTGCAGGTAGGTTCCCTTTGGGGTGTGGATCGACTGTGCAAAGCCCTTGAAAAAGTTTCTGAAGGGAACCTTGAAATTTGGATACCCCTCAAAAATGGCCGAAATATCACATTATTTATGGGTCTAGAAACGAGTCACGCCACAGCGTATACGAACAAGCTATGAACAAAACTCCATCAAGCCAACATTGCCTCACCTTAGAAGAGTTCCTGGAGCAGTACCGCTTAGCCACGCCAGCATCCCAGAAGACGAGGTCCATCACCCCCTGACGCCACAAATGGTCGTCTTGAAAATAGCCAATTTACAAGCGCTGGCAAAACAGCCAGCTACGTCCTCAATTGGCCAGAACTATACACAGGCAGATAGTAGAACACCTCTTCTAGCGCTGAGGACATGTCTCCCATCTTCCTTTTGGGGTTTTCTTGAAATAAACTTTTTTGAATTTTTCCACTCGACCATGCTGAAATACGGCCAAAGTCATACCTGCTCAGGAAAGCTCGCCCCTCCGCGACGTCTCCTCAGCAATTTCTACTCCAACACTACTCCCAAGGCCGCAGAACAAAGTATAGTGTTGACTCTGACAAGGAAAAGCAGCGGTGATCACTTGTCACTCCAAACGACAAGCTTCTCCTTGCGCCACCAATAATTTTTTGTGCGACTGTTGATGCAAAAGTGACTGAAGGCCTGAGCGCAGTTTTTGAATTTTATTGCAAGATGCACGGTGAGATCGCGTGCTCTGTGACGCAGGATGACGCTTCCTGCATCACGATACGCGGCCAACGATCGTGAAAGTGCCTGGAACGCTACTCGGAACAGACCATGATGGCAGAGGTAAGATGAGCTTCATTTCCTGCTTGAACTGCTGAGTACCCCAACAAACTGTCCTAGGAGTGTTGCAATGGCAGCAAGCCGTTGAAATATGCCCCGTACAGCATGGAGAGTTATTCGTCTTTCACACTTACCTCCTGCAATCCCGAACATAGTCCAACAGTAAAAGTCCCTTGTTTTCATGTCGATGCTCGACAAAAGCGGCTAGCTCGGTCCCTGTGTTGACTGGCACGCGAGTAGCACTGACTGCACGCACTTGTCGCGTGAACTGCATGAGAGACTTCTTACGTCATAAAGAATGTGATTTCATCATCATTTCACTGGTCTTCGACCTACATGGTCAGGGAAAGTCCCGGTTCGTAGGCCTACAACACTCCCAGCGTGTTCTTGAGCGCAGTAACAACACAAGTGGGATCACTTCCAGACCAACGGGCGTTCAAGGTGGGTAACAAGCGCACTTGACGAAGGTGACTCTGAAATCTCGTGAGCCGTGGGCCACGCGACTTGGCATTCTTGCGTCACAAGGCACGTGATTTCACCGTGCATCTTGCAATAAAATTCAAAAACTGCGCTCAGGCCTTCAGTCACTTTTGCATCAACAGTCGCACAAAAAATTATTGGTGGCGCAAGGAGAAGCTTGTCGTTTGGAGTGACAAGTGATCACCGCTGCTTTTCCTTGTCAGAGTCAAAACTACACTTTGTTCTGCGGCCTTGGGAGTAGTGTTGGAGTAGAAATTGCTGAGGAGACGTCGCGACGGGGCGAGCTTTCCTGCGCAGGTATGACTTTGGCCGTATTTCAGCATGGTCGAGTGGAAAAATTCAAAAAAGTTTATTTCAAGAAAACCCCAAAAGGAAGATGGGGGACATGTCCTCAGCGCTAGAAGAGGTGTTCTACTATCTGCCGGTGTATAGTTCTGGCCAATTGAGGACGTAGCTGGCTGTTTTGCCAGCGCTTGTAAATTGGCTATTTCCAAGACGATCATTTGTGGCGTCAGGGGGTGATGCACCTCGTCTTCTGGGATGCTGGCGTGGCTAAGCGGTACTGCTCCAGGAACTCTTCTAAGGTGAGGCAATGTTGGCTTGATGTAGTTTTGTTCATAGCTTGTTCGTATACGCTGTGGCGTGACTCGTTTCTAGACCCATAAATAATGTGATATTTCGGCCATTTTTGAGGGGTATGCAAATTTCAAGGTTCCCTTCAGAAACTTTTTCAAGGGCTTTGCACAGTCGATCCACACCCCAAAGGGAACCTACCTGCAAATTTTGAGCGAAATCGGAGAGATCCACTTGCACACATACTTTGGTATTCTCAGACATGCTCTCTTAAGAGAGCATGTCTGAGAATACCAAAGTATGTGTGCAAGTGGACCTCTCCGATTTCACTCAAAAATTGCAGGTAGGTTCCCTTTGGAGTGTGGATCGATTGTGGAAAGCCCTTGAGTCACGCCACAGCGCATACGAACAAGCTACGAACAAAACTCCATCAACCCAACATTGCCTCACCTTAGAAGAGTTCCTTGAGCAGTACCGCTTAGCTGCACCAGAATCCCAGAAGACGAGGTCCATCATCCCCTGACGCCACAAATGATCGTCTTGAAAATAGCCAATTTACAAGCGCTGGCAAAATGGCCAGCTACGTCCTCAATTGGCCAGGACTATACACCGGCTGAGGACATGTCCCCCATCTTCCTTTTGGGGTTTTCTTGAAATAATTATTTTTAGAATTTTTCCTCTAGACCATGCTGAAATACGGCCAAAGTCATACCTGCGCAGGAAAGCTCGCAGTGTGGATTTGCACAATCAATCCACACCCCAAAAGGAACCTGCCTGCAAATTTTGAGCGAAGTCGGAGAGATGCACTTGCACACATACTTTGGTATTCTCAGACATGCGCACTTAACTATTAATTTATAAGAAGAAATAAAGACCCGGGAACTACAAGTTACACTATATTGTCCACTAACACCACTAGTTACGTTACAATCAGCTCGTGCGATAACATTGCACGACACTGACCAACGGTACTGACGTTCTACACCTAACTTGCAATTAACTCTAGCACATCTTGGATGCGCACTCCAACAGCCTTCCAGCCTGGATGAGCTGATTGTAAAGTAACTGGTGTTGTGTGTTTACACTATAGTGTATCTTGAAATTTGAGAAGTTGATCACTATAGCCGGTATAGCCGCCAACCTTATAGGCGATATGGACTCTACTTTAAAGATGACATTGATGAGCCTGAAGTTTGGACTTTTTTCCAGCATTATCAATATAACATCTTACCCTTGCATCTAATCAGGATCAGGGGACTGAAGAGAAGCAAGCAGCCAATCAGGATACCTTCACAGCAGCATAAACAAGAAGAAATTGGGAAAATTGCACTCGACTCCTATGTCCACTAGAGTCACATGGTTAGGGAAAATTGGCAACCTGTTGTCAAATTACCAACATGTTCAACAAATCTCGATTTCCATGGTCGAGACTTGATGTTTTTGGGTCCTGAAACAAGCCGCACCCCTACAGAAGCCTGAATTACTGTAAATATACAATGGTTTGGCGCTGCAAAATTTAAGCATTTCACGATCGACAAAAAATATATTTTCGGCACGGGGCTAATACTAGAACATCAAAGCCGAAGTGCAAAAAATCATCAGCATTACTGTAAAACTCGGATGTTGAGCCATAAATAAATGTAGAAAAGAAAAGGACATATGGATACGAGTTAAGAGTAACTCTCCATCACTGAAACTGGATACTATATACAGTCAGAAAGTGCAATAACTAGGCACACAACTGACAGAGTACTGAGACATTCGACGTCCTGACACCTAGCTTCAACACATCTCCGTAGCGCTAACCGACAGCCTTCCAACTTGGAAGGTTCAAGGTTATGAAAAGACCAAAGAGGGGAAGGCAAGCGCAACGAAAACGAGCAAAAGCTACAATCCCAATGGAACAAATAATGTCGTGTTACTGGACGATGACGTCGAATGTCTCAGTACTCTGTCAGTTTTGTGCCTAGTTATTGCACTTTCTGACTGTATAATATAGTATCAAGTTACAGTGATGGAGAGTTACTCTTAACTCGTATCCATATGTCCTTTTCTTTTCTACATTAGGCCATCATTTTTATATCTATGTTTCGCGCCGTCCGCACGCATACGTTTTAATTTTTTCGGAGAAAAATAAAACAAATCGAACATGCACAGTGAGTGTACGATCGTGCGAGTCATCAGTGTGGACTGGTTGCATACGGCGAAGCTGGGATTCAGAATTGGCCCCGAGGCCAGCATTGGTAGATCGTTTGTTCTGCATCTGCGAGCAGAATTCTTTGAGCTTACACCAGACCGCATTGATCGCCTCAAGCTGAGAGGATGCGTCGTTTCGGAGCTCTTTGCACCGCTGCTGAAGGCTGAGTACAATAATCCAGCGAAGCATGGGCACCAACGGTTGCCTCCACTGTCCAAAGTGAATATTTACTCTTGCTGAAAACCCAAAATTTGATGCTTTGATGTACGATTTTTCTTTCGAATGTACACCATACACGAGCTATTGACAATAGTCAATAGGTTAATTAGCATGTACAGTGCTAATCACCTCTGATGAGCCTTTTTTATTATTTTGCAACTTTTTATTTCTTTCCACCTCTCGCATATGATTATGGAAGTTGAACTGGCGCGAAACATAGATATAAAAAATGATGGCCTTACTGTAAAAGCAGACATTTGGTTGTGTAAAATTTTCGGCACTCTCCAAAATCGGCAGTTCGGTGGAGGGGAAATTTTGGGTAAAACCCGTTTTCCAGGTAAGTGTACTTGTACTACATGATATGTACCGGTAGTACCGAAATGTTCGGTGTGTTCTATTTTCAGTAAACATTGTCGGCACCGAAGTTACCGAAAATAAAACACTACTGAAAATGTCTGCTTTTACAGTAGGTGTTTGTGCTCGATGCCGAATATGGTCGAAACAAAATAGTGGCCAATTTTTGTACATTTACAGTAGCAGAGCGGCAGATATGAGTTAACTTTTAAGTCTCAGCGGAATTGTCCTCGCTGTGGTGATGGTGATGTGAGTGCAGAGTTTGGATCGGCCAAGAGCGTAATGTGGTGATGGTGGTGTGGTGCATTGGATTCCATAATGGCCGGGTCGTCGCTACTTCTTCTCAACTTCAAATGCGCCGTAGAGCGACAGTGAAATTACAAGACAAGCGGGATGGTTTATCAACATCAAATGCTAGATCAAAATTTATCAGCATCGGACGCAGCACAGCCCTGACCAGTGGCGGATCCAGGACTTGGCCGAAGAGGGGGCCCAAGGTATCCGCCCCCCCCCCCCCCAAAACAAAACAACAAATACAACAACAACAAAGTCCTGAAGCTGTGAAGAGCAGTTGTTATTAGGGTCCGGCGGATTCTGCCGGCAGAAAAATTGACAGAATTCGGTACTTTTTCTGGTAAGTTTTATGGATGTTTGGTATGTGGATAAAAATACTATAGTATGGAGCAGAATTCGAGGAATTGCCCGCCATAAGGTTTGTATGATTCTGCCAATTTCACTGCTTTTCGAGCAGAATATGCCACCTTTTCGAGCAGAATCCGCCGGTTTCTAGTTTTATTCCATTCTCACGACATTTTCAAACTGCACTGGAACATTTCCACTCGACAGCGGCCGCGACGGACCTTTGGACGGCTCTCCAACGCGAGCTCTCTTATCTACCGGTCCACTGAAGAACGACCTGATGTCAGACCCTTTCCTCTTCATCTCATATCTGAAGGTAACCCGTTGGCTACAAGCGAAGTAGAGAGCTAGAGAGCGTATACTTGTAGTTTCTGACAATTGAAAAAGAAAAAAGGAAGGACGAAGTCGACAGCACCGTGCACCAAACAGGACTTCAGCCCAACGCGATCGCTGCACTATGTACCAGGCCCTGCATTTTTGGCACGTTTTTCACATGTTTGAAGTGCGGCCGTGTCCTCAGGTCGCAGTGCGTACAGTAGTTGTACACCGGTACACAGCGCGCTGACTAGTACAGACTCATGCTCGGTGCGTGACACCATGTACCGGAGTGATCGGACACGTATAAAAGTACCCAGCACGCGTGACCCACTTGACACGCCAAGTAATTTCGAGCGCTCATTCTACAGTCTACTGTAATCCTAGACCAAGGTCGAAATTTTCAAAGGGGGGGCCCAGGCCCCCTGGGCCCCCCCCTGGATCCGCCACTGACTGACTGGAGTGAATGCCCCATGGGCCTCTCGGTGTGTGAAGTGGCTGATTTGCTGTGGAAGATGCTGACTGAAGGCACAGGCAACACCAGTGTATGTGTTCAATGGGTATGGTGGGGTGGTGTGGCTGTGGGCGACGGGCTGGCAGGACAGTGATTGCCTCCACGATTCCACAATGGCCGGGTCGTCTTCACTTCTTCTCAACTGTTGGCCAGTGAGGTAAAATTATATTCCATACAATACAATACGATACAGTACAATAATACAAAAATAATGTCCTTGCCTTAATAGTGTGCTTGTGCTTAACTGCTTCGTGCGGCCGAATGTATGGTTGCCTGTAGAGCATATTACATAACTTTACAGCCTCCTATAGTACGCATTCTGTCCGACAGCAAAAGAAGAAGCTGCGGGTTTAGTTTTTCTCCACGTTATCAGCAATGACTACTGATCTTCAGCAACTTGGATCTCCTATCATACGCATCCTGTCCATGCTTTTGTAATGCTACCATAATGCTCGGGATAGCACTCGCTACTGATCTTCAGAAACTTGGCCTGACTCTCACTCACAATAAGACTGTTGTAATGGTCATCGTTTCCAAGCAGTCGCTGGTTTCTCCCATAATTTCATCATACTGTTGTACGACATGCTATACGACATTCTTATACCGAACAACACCGTATAAGCCCTATTTGAACATTGTGGCCAGCTGTCTTTGATGGTACGGTAAGAGACAGGTACGGGATAGTGCCAGGCGTGCCGATGGCACAAACAAACAAACAAACAAACACGGAATTAATGCTGTGCGGACCCTGGCTAGCGCCAGACATTACTGAAGTAACGTCTTTTGCATAGCTACGGGAACAAGTTATCCGTTTTGTCAAATTGTTTTTTAAATAATAATTGTTTATTTGAATTCACCACACAAGGCTCTTCAGGCTCGTTACAACCGACATGGACCTACCTGTAGAGCTGCTCAAAGTGGCCATGTTGGTATCCTTTAGTATTAAAGAACCTCGAGAATGATGAAGAAACCCTGAGGCAATCCAGAAATCACACATGGAGGTCAAGGATAGGGAAAGGATACACCCACACAAACGCATACACTTGCACACACACACAAAAACATGCACGCGCATGCAGAATGTCTGCTACCGGTTTTCAAATGACTTCTCCACAATTTCGCGTACGGAGAAAACAGCATCCATACAGCCGCGACCTGGTCGAAACCCACACTGAGATTCAGGGAGCTCACGGTTTGCAATCAACTGCAGGCGATTTTGTAACAGGCAACCACACAGCTTGCCAACATCTATCAAAGATATCCCGCGCCAATTGTCACACTTTGTCAAAGTGTGACACACACACACACACACACACACACATACACACACACACACCATTGGACCATTGGACGCCCATCGCCGGAGGCGATGATAGCAATGCTACAGCAGAAGCCATAGCCGCTTGTGCTGGGATTGCACCATTCAACAGCTTGAAAGGCTGAAGAATTGACTGCCACTGTTCAGCCTGGTCTACACCATACAGCTATGCAGTGGCTTTTTCTGGCCACTGAATCCATACTTTTTGGTCTTTTTATTTTTTTTTCCCGCACACACATCACACCACATACTCCGGCATGCACTGGCTGTTGGTAACAACCCAGGAGAATGAGAGAAAAGTCAGGGAGAGTCTGAAAAAGAGAAGAAAGACGTGTGTGACCATAATTGTCGGGAATCGAACCCGCAACCTATCAATTTGAAATAGCTGCACATACCACTGCACCATATGGCGCGCACACACACGCACACACACACACACACACACACACACACACACACACACACACACACACACACGCACACACAACACACACACACACACACACACACACACACACACACACACACACACACACACACACATACGCATACTTGCTTTGAAAGGGGAGGGAGAGACTCAAAAGAAATCTTGCAAAAATGACGACATGTGCCATTGAACGACCAGATTAAATGATGGCTATCAACAAGATGAACTATGCCGTCATTGCAATACAGTGAATGCACACATGTCAACTTCGAGGTGACCGGATTGTATTCATTTTTGACTTTTCCAGAAGCCATTGTCATTCAAGGGATTAGAAAAAATAAAGAAAATTAACCCCACGCTGATGCGATAATAGCTAAACATAATTAGTGTTTTAGCCAGGCCAAAATATTAGGGGGTGGGCATGGGAAACTGTTACCCCGTATCCTATTCGTCCACTTTCAAATATTATCTTGCCGTGCTAAATGCAACATATGGGGCGAATCCCTGACTTCTCTCCAGACAAATGTGCCTTTGTGAACCATTTAATAGTGATTTTTGACTGCATTTTCGTTGAGTTGCATGAAAACACACAACCCCGTATGCGCCTCCCTGCCCCCCCCCCCCTCTCCCCTCTTTGGCTTAAACCCTGATAACACCTGGGTCAGGATATGGCCACTGAAGTCACTGAGATCCATGCCCAGTGGTTCTGGGCGATGTTCCTCAGCGCCTGAAGCAATTGATTCATTTATTAAAATTACAAGTGTTCTTACCCGTGTGCAGAGATAAACTATGGCATCCAGCTGACTAGCTTCTTGCAGAGACTGAGGGATTTGGTTATTAATAAAACATTGGATCGTGTAAACTGTACTGGGAAAGTCAGCAAAACAAAAACCGAAAGAAATGATTATACATTCCAATCGCTGTCGGCATAAAATTGATATTTTGTGGAACTGCCTTCCACCAAGGCTCACATCGCAATATTCACATTGCTAGGTTCCCACTCCCATACGTTCTACAACCGTATCCAAGCTGGCCTGCATGCACTCTCGTACTCACCTTGTATCTCCTTTTGCTCCGTTGCCCTGGGTATC